TATATATGTATGTATAAATACTTTAAAAAAGAAGCAGCTCATGGATTGTGTAAATAGTTATTCATGGTGTCTAGATCAGAAAGGCTCCCTTTAGCATAACAATGTATTTTAACAGCCTTTACAAAAAAGGAACTGGAGCCCAAATCTGTAGAATTTATAACGTGTTCTGGAGAACCAACACATCTTATGGAATATTCCTTTCTAAGAAATTAACATTATCTAAAAGTTTAAGTAAACTCTACAACTCCAGGGTGGTGTTTTCCGAACGGGGTTGAATATTCATGCTCGCATTTTTCTTGTGAAGTTCAAAGTCGTTCTTTTCAGCTTCGGGCTCCAAACAGCTTAAGCCCGAGTTGTTTTGCCCTTCCGGATGGAGCTTCAGCTGCACAACGGGAGCGTTCTCCAGCTCGGTTTCTTCAGTTTTGCGGATTTCTCAATAGCGATTTTGCAGAGCGTGATCATAAACTGAAAATGCCATTTACAGGATGCTTCTGTCAAAAGGCCTTCAATCGTGGAGGCTTTTACAGCAGGGAGTAACACTCACACTGCAAACATCTAGAGCCCATTGAACCATCTTAAGAAGCTCCTTTATTTCGTTTTATCACCTCTTACACCCACATTCCAAAGTGCCTAGTCAGTCACTAACAGCGATCACTTTAATATCCAGTTATTAGTTTAAAATTTAGAAAGCAGATCATTTAAAAGTCATTTCCTGAAAATAACAAGCAGCGTGGTGTGTTTTGTGGTGATAAAATGTGTTGTTGGTTTTTACTATTATTGGTGAAATTCAGCTTTTCTTAGCTTGGAGGAGTAATGAGAAGAGTTTTATTTTACCTTTCGATGGACTTTATCTAATTTTTTTTAACAAGTAATTCAATACTGAACGCTTCAAAAGCAACACATCGTTCCCAGTCATCCCAGAAGGCTTTAATTTAACAGCTCTTGACAATCATAGCTGAGTGTTGCTCATGTTTCTTCTGTACTTGTGTGCAAACAAGAGAAACACTAATAACTGTGCAAGCAGGAGCAGTTTTGTGATAAAATGTGAAAAAGCGTGTACAGAAGGCCTTTTCCATAACATTCAGGTTACTTCTTTTTTTTTTTATTGCCATCATTCATTTATAAAAAGTGTTTTTTACTGTTGAGCAGATCTATTTATTTTCCATTTAACCATGTGCCATGTACAGTATGCAAGCTTCTTTAGTGATGTCTTATTTATTACACTGATGTACGCTGATGTTCACATGTTCAAAGTGCCATAACTGTGTAATGTTAAATGCTGTTAAAGTTGCAAAAGCATAAAGATGCAATCTCTAAAGCAGCTTAATTTAAAATAAAATAAACATTAAATTGCATCTGCTTTAAAAAAAAAAAAAGAGCGTTTAAGTAGGAAAATTGAAGTAGGATGCAAGAACTGCAAGAGATAAAACACAAAGTGTTTAAAAACCGCTCTGCTGCTGACGTGTTTCTATCACCAGCAGCTCAGAAAGAAACGACCATGTTTTCAAGCTGTTACTGTCTGTGGAAAAAAGAAGAGCTGAACATGACCTCACCTGTGCTGGGAATTCATCTACCACAAGATGGAAGCAAAGTTTGATAGCTGAACCCATAGAGGTAAAAAGCAAGAGCCTTTGGGAAGCTTTTTATTTTATTTACAACTGTTTATATTTTAATCATGGTCTTATCATTATCGACATGATTGTTTATGAGTTATTTTACAGCCAACAAGCCTTTTTATTGATGTAATTTTGATGTGAAAATACAATGAAAGCTCAAAATTACACACTTTTGCTTTTCTTTTACGTTTTCCTTTAGTTTTGACCAAAAATGTGAACCGTGTGTGAGTTTGATTAAACATTTGCCTTGAAAAGGCAGGAAATTTAATTATAATGTTTAACATAACAGCAAAATTGAGCACTGCGCTGCTAATAATTGTTGCCAACACAGACCGTATCTCTTGAGTTCAATTGCCAAAACACAATGTGGCGCGCTTAGCTCCATTTAAAATGTGAGCGAGTAACTTCTTGAAGTATTTCATTGATAATGAGACGCCTGTAAGGATTTATTCCTACTGGCACTTTGAAAGGAGCTGCAGGTTTATAAAAGATTCAGATTATGCCAAACTATAATCTATTTTCAAGCCTTACTAAGTCAATTTACCTTTCGTCACCTTTGTCAGTGTTGTTCTCAAAACATGACTAAACAAGAAAGAGAAAATTATTTAAACCTAATGTTAGAGATGCAAGTCTAACATCAGTCTATCAAAGATTATCACCATAGTCTGTGCAGAGAAACATGTTAACCTAAAGTTAATGCTGCTTTGACAATTGTATTAGTTTATCACTTAGATGGCAACTAGAACAGAATAACTACTTTTTTTTTTAAAACAGTAAGCACCTGTATGTTGCTAGTGTTTACGAGAAAACTTTAATCTAAGAAAGCAAAGCCTTTAATTTATTTTACTAAAATATTAACTTATACATGTGTTAAATGCACTACTTTATTGCTGAGAATAAAACAAAACAAATGACACTTTTGTTTTATTTATGTTAACTAGCAGCAGCTGGTTAGATAAGAATGGGTTAACTTAGCCTAGCTTTGTCGAAAACACATTTAAAGCTGATTTAATTCCTAAATTAACTGCAATGTGTCACTTTATTAAATTGAATGTGCAATGTGTAATCTCATGGAAAATTGTTGCTTTTTTATTTAAAGTATAATAGCTATACTTTAATCCAGTGGTTCCCAACTCTGGCCCTTGAGGAACACCATCCTGCATGTTGTTTCCCTGCTCACCTGATTCAATGATTTGATTACCGGGGGTACTTCCTCAAGTTCTGCAGAAGCCTGTTAATCACCCATTTATTCAAATCAGGTGTGACAAAGCAGGGAAACAACTAAAACATGCAAGATGGTATTCCTCAAGGACCAGAGTTGGGAACCATTGCGTTTAATCTAGCCTATTTTGTGAATTTGTGAAGCGTTTTGTTCACAACCTGAGTTTGCACAACATTTCTAGTTAAGCTCATAAATACGACAGGAAATGGGTGTTTATACGAACACAGTCTGTATGTCACTCCTGACGAATCACAAGCAGGACTCCAGGAATCATGAGCCCTTTTTATGAACCCATCAACATCCGAGCCCTCGGGTTTATTTCAAAGCTACACACCAACCAGCTGCAACTGCTTATAGTTGCAAATATATTTAACATGGCTGGAAAATAAAAATAACAATTTAATTTATTTGCTGTATAAATAAATGTAATTTTGAAAATATCTAAACTTTTGTTTGAAATGCATTGTGTGGTTCATAGCTGCATCTTTGTGTAATGACACTTTCCTTTCTGTTTGTGGCAGACTCTGTGTGAGTTTTATGGATTGCCAACAAATTTTGAATGTACAGTTATTGTTGCTCAGCTGCTCTTTGGTGTTGCCTGCTATCAGTTTGCCCCGGTGTACAAATGATGTCTTTTCTCTGTCATATGGTGTATATTTTTGCCATTCAGGTGGACTTATTTGACTAAGATCTATACTGTTTGTGACAGTTTTGTACATTTGTTTATGGTCCAGTTTTCAGAGTGTATGAGCGTTTGAAATTTGGAGAGTCTATTTTGTATGCATGTAACAAGCATTTGTAGGGAATATAAGTAACTTAAATGTTTAAAAAAAAAGTATTGTTTAAGTTATGGTCAAACCGTAATGGTGTGTAAATGTTCTGTACATGTCCAACATCCATGTCCAAGTTGTGTAAACTGACTGCAAAATAAATGTGTGGTAAGTTGCTCTACTTTGCAAAAGACTGAGGTTTATTTTGAATTTTGTTTCATTCGTAAACAGAAACTTTACCCATAGACTAACTGTAGTTTTAATTTAGCTCATGTGCAGATGAAATAAAAGAATCCTTCTCAACATTTACAAAAGTTTTAATACAGTTTGAAGAAATCCTCGTCTAAAAAAGATGATCTAAAGCTAATTCTGAACACAAACTTCACGCTAAAGACAACTCTTTAACACAGACAATGTTTTGGCTCCTAATTTCAGTCAATTTTGCTCTGAAAACACTGAAAAAACACATTTCTATAGCAACAAACTGCATTCTCAGTTTATTGAACAGACACACACACAAACACCATAAGGATTTCATTTTTGTACAAAAAAAATCACAACACATTTTAAGGCGATCTTAATTTTAATTTGGACAATAGTCTAATAATTCACATAAACCAAGGTAGAAACCTCCTGAGATGAGCTTACATAAATCTTGGTATTTTCCAGCACTGTAAGTAAAATTCTACTCCAATACACTCTAATACACCTGATTTGAATAAAAGGGTGATTAACAAGCTTCTGCCAAACTTAAGAGAGTAATTAAACCACTGAATCTGGTGTGTGGGCGCAGAGAAACAACTAAAACATGCAGGATGGTGTTCCTCAAGGACCAGAGTTGGGAACCACTGCTTGCTACCTATTGGCATTTTTTTTTTTTTTTACTTTAGTAATTATATAATGTTTGAAGTTGCATTTACCATCCAGACACCTGGAGCTCTTTGGATCAATGTTTCAAATTTATAATTAGAGAAAAAATAAAAATAAAAACAATAAAATTAAATGAAGGATGATAAGAAAAAGACGTATTTATTTATAGTCCATTATAAAGACAAGCCATAACCTGAATTCAGACCCTTCAACATGTTTTCAGAGGCAGTGACATATAAACATGACCAGAGCATATTTAAGTACACTCACCCACCACTTTACAAGGCACACCTGTTCAATCACTTGTTGACACAAATTGCTAATCAGACAATCACATGACAGCAACTCAATGTGTTTAGGCATCTAGATGTGGTGAAGATGACTTGTTCAAACCAAGCATCAGATAAAGGAAGAAAGAGGATTTAAGTGAATGGTTGGCATTGGAAACATCTGGCACCATGGTTGTTGGTGCCAGATGTGATGAATATTTGACAAATGGCTAGTCTATTTGGGATTTTCATGCACAAACATAGCTAGGATTTAAGAAGAATGGTCCAAAAAATAAAATAAGCAGACTGGTTTGTGATGATAGAAAGGCAACATTAGTTCAAAGAAGCACTTGTTACAATCAAGGTCTGCAGAATATACATCCCTGAACTCACAACTCATCGAACCTTGAGCCTGATGGGCTACAGCAGTAGAAGACCGCACCAGGTGCCACTCATTTCAGTTAAAATCATAAAACCGAGGTTACAACTCGCACACGTTCACCAACAAGAGATTGGAAAGCCATTCTCTGGTTTGATGCGTTTTGCTTTACTGAACCCCAGTGACCTCCACATCTGAATCCTATTGAGTACCTTTGGGATGTGGCAGACCAGTAAATTCCCATCACTGACGTGCAGCTGACAAATCTGCAGCAACTCTGTGATACTATCAAGTCAATGTGGAGCAAAATGTTTCCAGCACCTTGTTGTATTTATACCACAGTGAATTAAGGCGGTTCTGAGGGTAAAAGGAGGTCCAACCTGGTACTCACAAGGTGTACCTAATAAAGTAGCCGGTGAGTGTATTTCTTTAATAATCAAACATACGCTGTTTTCACATGTTTCTTCATGCAAAATCTCTGTCTTGTATCACTTTATCTTTGTATTCCAAACTGTAAATTGAACCATCTGAAACAGTTTCCAGCACAGGACCAGTTCGGACGCTGTTAAAGTTTCTCCATTCACAATGGCAGCATAATATCTCGTCGATATGAGAGCGCACACTGGGATCTCGATTGGAGATCTGTGCTGCGTCATCCTCCGTGGTCTTTTCCTCGTACTAACGTTAAGTATCCTGACTAGTTGCTGCCGTCTCATTCCTGTGTTTGAGTTCTCAAAGAAGAGTCGTTCAAATTATTGACGTAGTCATACTCCTCGGAGGATTTCCATTGTTTTGTTGTTTCTTAACAATCAGATGTTTCTTTCCCATAGAAAATGTGAGTAATCATACTGAGGAGATGTTGGCACTAGAAGGGGGCAGCCCCAGTCCTCCACGGGTACGAATTGTGATCTGAGTGATGCTTCTCTTGGCCGGCGTGAGTTGATTTGGACTGTGGCACCTCCACAGCCACTTCCGCAGCTCCATTTGAACCTGCGGGCAAGAGAGAAACGTGAGGAAAGTGTACTAAAGGTTTACGTTGCTAAAACCACCATTCACCTACCTCTCCATTCATGAAACAGTAGAGAAGTGCCACCACGAACCCCTGCGGCGGAACAGAGAAACTTTTAATAATTTAATACCAATTAATTATTATCACGCTTTAACAAAATAGTCTTTTTAGAGAGCCATTTGCTTTTGAAACATCAGAGTATAAAACAAACTTGGCTCAACATTTTGGCTTACAGAAGGTATTAAACGCTCGTGGATGGGAATTTCTGTCATCTGAAAGAAATTCAAATCATCTTCATTCTGTCAAAAGAGCACCTGTCATGGCACATTTCTTTTCGGATTCTGACTAAATCAATTACACTAAAGGTTTCAGGAGTTAGATCCCCCAGTGAGTGCTTTTGTAAAAAAAAACAAAAAAGTTAAAAAATCTCCACGACAGTAGGAAAAAAAACATAATTTTAAAGTCCGACTTTTAGACAGCTGCATAATGACTCATATTACTTAATTTTGTCTTATTTTCTTAAGTCACAGTAAAAGTAGAGTTCAAGATATTCAAAGATTCAGAGAGAGATTCAGAGATTCAGATATTCTTTATTGTCAATCTTATATGCACAGGGTCCCAGTTACGTCCAACAATAAAATGTAAAAGAAAAACAGCAATAAGATCTAAAATATATAAAGTTTAGAGCCAATACTAGGTTTCATTAAAGTTTATATATAAACTTATGTTGCATCTTAACATTTGCCTTAGCAGTGATTAAAATGCGTGTGTCCATTTTTGTTTTGAGGGTCCGGTGATCTACCCTCCGGATTTGTTTACAAGCGTGCATATCTGCAAAGACTTAATGAGTCTTTACAAATACGTGTGATGCAATTTAGCAACTGCATATCTATATTATCAAGAGACCAACCAGACAAGCCTGGAATCTGTCAGAACCAGTTCATACGACCCACAGTGGAGCTGTCATTTAGCACATGTTCAACACATTGGCGTATGGCTTGCTGTTGTTTATTTGGGTGATTTTGGCTCCAAACAATTGAAAACAAGGCATTTTCAGAGTGCTGCTCTGATTTGGGTTTGTGTGGCTGATATTGGTCGTTTATGCAGCACAAGACCATCAGAAATACCTATGATTCAAATGGGAGCAGGTCATCTCACTGCACAACATGTCAGGTATTACAAGTTGTTTGTTTGTTTAAGTAATTTTTTATTACATTTACCAGTAAAATGTTATCATAGTAAAATGTGATTCATATAAACTGTGTCATCTACATTACAGTTAGGGTTGTACACACTGTGTACCTATACAGTAGTTCCTCGCTACTGTGCGGTTTGTTTATCGCGGACTCACTCTGTCACAATTTTTCAAAATAAGATTGGACATGACACACAAGTGGCTGATTGATGGATGAGCCGCACGATCGACATGGAATTTTTATTTAAAATCAATTATTTTAAATTATGTAGCACCTGCTGCACATTTGTGCAGCCCATAATGCAGGAAAAGCTTTCTCCTGCAGCTGATCAGCTGATTTCTGTACAGAGCACAGAAGTGGGCGTGGCCAAGAGCGCTTGCAGGTGACAAAAAGCAGAGGAGGCAAGGAGCTGAAATCATGACATTCTGTGCTCTTTTAGAGCGTTTATAGTTTAGAAACATTGTTTAGAATATTGTAAGAGCGTGGGAATGGTTTAAAACACAGACATATATATATATATATATATATATATACTAAAATAAACTACTACTTATACTACTATTCCTTCCTACTTCACAGTTTTTCACTTATCACAGGGCTTCAGGGAACGTTTTCCCTGCAATAAACAAAGGACTACTGTATAGACATTTATATACCTATATAAACAAGGAAGGAGTGGTTGTGCAGGTGAGTTGATATCACAGTTCAGTGAGTTGGCATAGCGTAGACCCAAATAAAACATACTAACTATTGACAACTACCATTTCTTGAAGGAATGCATATGATTTTTCTTGCATGGCAAGTTGTAAACTAAAAGCTGAGTGCACTTTGTTAGCGCTCAGAGTATGTTTTTGTATGGCTATCAGCTACTACCACACCAAATTATAGCACAATTTCTGTAAAGTTGATATTATAGCCATTCAGCCATCTTGACTCAGGCTGACTCTAAAAGGTGAGTTTTCAGAAGTAACTCAAATGATAACTTCCTGAAAGTTCCAATAAAATCCGTCCAGTGTTTCATGAGATATTTTGCTGACAAACACACATTTTTGCCACCTGTCATTGCAGGGTTATGGCCACATGCATTCCAGAACGTATAGTCGAAATTCAATCAATTTAGACATCTTTAAACTCGCCCTTAGCGCTGTCAACAAAACATTTTCATATACATGTATATCTGCTACAATTTATTGTCATTTTAGTTTAGTATTTTAAAGGCATGATGCAGTGACCCCTGCTACCCAAACAGAAACAAGCGGGTAAAGATAATGGATGGATGTTTTTAAATTAAATATAAGTTCAATTTTTAATGCTGGAAAAAGCAGGGATAAATTATAAGGCAGAGCCTTCAAGGAGTCTATTTATTCACATCATTTAACATGCTGAGAGAAAAATATGTTAATGAGGACTGAGTTCATTTTAGCATCTTTTTATCGTTTCACTTTTTCTATCGCTTACTGTTTCGTTTACCTGAAAGGATCCCAGACCCAGCTCAATGTAGAGTCTGGCTGCTACACCTGTGTTCTCAGGCAGGAAGGCAAATACGGTGTAATGCATCCCAAACAGAGGGATGAGGAACAGGGTGGACTTGGCCAGCCTCCTAAAGAAAAAAGAAAAGTAAAGAAAGGAAGAAGAAAGGGTCGACAGACATCCAAGGGATGATGCAACATCTGTTTGAAATCTGAAATATTACAGTGCGCTGTAGGTTTCCGCTCTGTTACGTGTAAAATTTGCACCATAAAGACAACAACAACCAGGTAAGTCATTCAGTTTTCATCAAGGCTAAACTGCTGATGTCAATTTAATTCCTCTGACCTTTTCATCTTACAGCTATGTCATTAGGCCAATCAGTGAGAGAAATAAAAATGCCAACGTACAAAACCCTCATTGTGCACAATAGTCCAAATCACATCACTGATGTATGAATGTCATGTAAATGTTGCTGTTTGTTTTTGGAAGAATGTCTCATGAATCACAAAGCTTAGAAAGAGCTAATCAAGCGTTGCCTTTAAATAAATAAATTAAAAAAAACTTATTTTGATTTTGTATTTCTATGATGGGAACTGTCTGATCCGGTTTACTAAAAATCCATAAATCTCAGAAAATCTCTTAACAGTAAAGTCCAAATATGTATTTTGATCTCCCATGAGGTTCACAGTCCCAATTTTATTGAAGATATCTTAACGATCCATTTCCTCGAGTCAGACATGGCATGTGGATTGCAGATGAAAAACCCATCAGGGTATTTTATGCTTAAAACAGAATTGCAGTTTTCTTTAGTCACACTTGGAGTTTGTGTCATTGTGCACCACAGAGCTGGCTGAATCAAATCAAAGTTGAAGCAGAGCTTTTGAACATGGGAAACATTCACAGAACTGGTTAAACTGTTCTGTCACATGGTGATTAAGGAAACATCTATTTCTGGTATCAGCTGCTATTTATATTTGCTCTCGTTTGAAATTGATTCAGCTCAAATCTGCCCCAGACAGAACGTCAATGGAGAGAATAATTCATTCAGTGTTTCAACAACAGATTCGGGTTTTTTAACCGCACGGAAAAAGTTCAGTATACAATAAAACGATTTAACAACGTTTAACTTTTAGATTCATTATTGCTTTACTTATAAAGCGTTTTTCTTTGCACTGAATGTTTATGCTTAAACTATTTCAATTTTATTTAACAGTTATTTTTATTGCAACATTTTTCCTTGGTACTTTGTGTATTTTTAGTCTGTTTATATTTGCTAGTGAGGCTATATTTGCTTTCAGGTCATCCCCGCCCCCAAAAATCTGAATATTTAGATTATGCATCTTTCATCATTTCCTTATGGGAAATGTTTAAAAAGTGGAAAAGTTGAGGTGAACTTGAATGCGAGTCACTTGGGGAATGTTTTGTGAGTTTATATTAACTTGTTTCAGCTGCTTTCTCTCCTCTCTGTAAAGTCATTTCATTTATTCACGGTTTACTGCTAAGAAACATCCAAACGTATTTCAGAAAAAAGGAAAGCATTAGTGCCCCGACATTTGTTCCAAACTTCCAGATGGATGTTAAAGATCCACTTGTCATCTTTAAACTCTTTTTTTAAATTACTGCATTTTCTAGTATATAAGTCACAGTTTTTTGCATAGATTTGTCAGTCCTGTGACTTACACGCTGAAGTGAGAACTGCAACAGAGAGTCCTCCCGCGCATACTCGCTTCACTCAGCTGGTGCAGGCGGAGGAACGCTGGAGAGTTAGTGACTCCGGCCGCGATGGATGGATGGATGGATGAATGGATGAATGGATAGATTGATGGATGGATGGATGGATGGATGGATGGATGGATGGATGGATGGAT